TTAATGCTGCTAAAAGTTGGTTCTTTGAAAGGATAAACAGAATCAACAGACCACTGGCAAAACTAACCAAAGAAAGGAGGGAACAAATTTCAACAGCAAGAATATGGGATGAAAGAGGGGACATTACAACAGACCCTAATGAAATCAAAAGGATAATTACACAGAACTATGAAGGATTGTACTCCAATGAATTCAACAATTTGGAAGACATGGACAAATTCTTGGAAAAACAATCTCTCCCTAGACTATCCTCGATGGCTGTCAAGAATCACAACAGACCCATAGCAATAGAAGAAATAGAAAAGGTTATCAAGGGATTACCAACAAAAAAATACCCTGGACCGGAAGGCTTCACTGGAGAATTTTATTGAGCATTTAAGGAAGAACTAACACCAATCCGACACAAACTCTTCCAGAACATAGAAAAAGGTGGCAAACTCCCGAACTCCTATGAAGCTAATATATATAACTCTGATACCCAAACCGGGCAAGGATCCTACAAGAATCGAGAACTACAGACCATATCTCTAACTTAACAAAATACTGGCCAATAGAATACAAAAGTATATAAAACAAATAATTCACCATAACCAAGTGGGATTCATACCAGGGATGCAAGGATGGTTCAACATACGAAAGACCAGTAGTATCATTCACCAAAATGACATGAAAAACTCTAAGAACCACGTGGTAATAATGACAGATGCAGAAAAAGCATTCGATAACATCCAACACCAATTCCTGTTTAAGACCCTTGAGAAGATAGTAATGGAAGGAAAATTCCTCAATGTAATAAAAGCTATATATGAAACACAAGCAGCCAATGTGGTAGTCAGTGGAGAAAAGACTAACAGAATCTCACTGAAAAAAGGGGACCAGACAAGTATGCCCCTCGTCCCCACTTTTATTTAACATTGTACTGGAGGTTTTAGCTAACAGCATAAAGCAAAGAAAAGATATCAAAGGTATTCCTCTGGAGAAGGAAGAGGTGGAACTATTGTTATATGCAGATGATATGATTTTACATATGGAAAATCCCAAAAACTCCACAAGGGGAGTACTGGAAGTAATAGAGGAGTTTGGCAGAGTGACAGGATACATGATCAACAAACAGAAATCCATTGGACTGCTATACACATCGGATAAGACCACAGAAGAGGAGATCAAAAAGGTGGCACCCTTCAGAATAGCCAAGCACAAATTGAAATATCTAGGGATATACCTGACTAAAAAAAACAAAATATCTATATGAAGAAAACTACAGAACATTATTACAAGAAACCAAGAGTGACCTCAACAAATGAAAGAATGTCCTATGCTCGTGGATTGGTAGACTCAATATAGTAAAGATGTCAGTTCTGCCCAAGGCACTATATAAGTTTAATGCAATCCCAATACAATTACCCTCATCTTTCTTCAAAGAAATGGAAAAACTGATTACCAACTTCATATGGAGAGGGAAGAAGCCCAGAATTAGCAGAGAACTCCTCGAGAAGGACACAGTGGGAGGGCTAGTTTTACCTGACTTTAGCACATATTATACAGCCACAGTTATCAAAACCGCATCGTATTGGTATAAGCACAGATACTCAGACCAATGGAAAATAACTGAAAATCCAGAAATAAAATCATAAGCATACAGACAACCGATCTTTGATAAGGGCCCAAAAATATCCATAATGGGAAGCAGATGCCCTTTTCAACAAGCGGTGCTGAAAAAATGGATATCTACCTGCCGAAAAATGAAGCAAGACCCTTATCTCACTCCATACATAAGAATAAACTCAAGGTGGATCACAGACCTTGAAATAAAACCCCAAACTACTAGGGCCATCAATGAGGGAATTGTGAACAACTTGAGAACTTTGGCACAGGGA